AGTGTTTCTCTTAACCGCAGTGGGCTGAGTTGTCAAGTGACTTAACAGTTGTGGTGAATTGCCAGTATGCATTGATTGCTTGGGCACTAGTTTAAGGGAATACATGTAACCGAAAATGGCTTTCTCTTAATTGATAAGATTTGGGTAGTTGAGAAAAACTGTCCATCGTTATAATATTTTGAAACCTTTCATTTGGCTCAGGTTGTCACTAGAATAACCCACATCTGTCCTAAGGTAACTGCTCTGATCACAGCCTTTGAGAGAGGTTAATGCTCACTCTTGGTAAGGTTCTCACTCCCTCCCTTCCATCCCCGGCTGATGGTCAGCTTCTCAGAATACCTGAGTCAGCACCCAGAGTTTTGTGACTCGTAGCTCTGCAGAAGGAATGAGCTGTAAAGTTCTCTCACAGAAGCCAAAACATTGGTTTATAATCTCTGCCTTTGCATTTAAACTTGAGCACACAAACATCGCACAGCTCACACAACCATGCAGAGACATCTGACAGGAGGTTTCACATGGGCAAGAGGGATCAGGAGGAGGTTTGAGTTATTCAGAGCACTCAAGTGTACTAACTTGTCAGTGTTTCTGTGTGGCCCATGTTTGGACAGATTGACCAGTACAAGGGAAAGCGAGATCTGGACTCGCTGAGAGAGTATGTGGAATCACAGCTCCAGAGTGACGCAGAGGGCACTCCCGAGACCACCCAGCCCTCAGAGGCCCCGGTGCTGGCTGCTGAGCCAGAGGCTGACAAGGTAGGTGTCTGCCGCCACCCTCGCCCACAGAGGGCACTGCCCTCAAACGCCTTGGACAAAGTGACAGTTTGAGGACAGTATAGAGTAATTCAGATGGTTGGCTTACAGTTGACTTTTCAACCCAAAACATTTTCTTCAACTACTTTTACATACTTCAAGGGGTTAATGTAAGCAAAAGCTCCCCTGAAATAGATGTGAGATGCGTCCTGAATTTGGTAAAAAATCTCTGGAAAATTCTTCCCATTCAGTCATCACTATACTTGAGGGTATGTGCTATGGAAGCTTGTCTGTTTCTGTTCGTTTCTTTAATGTGTTGCAATCATTTTTTTAACCTGTGGTAAAGACCTCTGAAAGATCTGTAGCAGAAAAGATGTGCACATTGGAATTGAAAGGCAAATTGCTGTAGGATATTTCATTTGCTTAGGCAGTCTTGACTTATTGAAGTATTATCTTCATTCATTCAGATAGTATAAGGTTTTAGATTCATTTGTTCTGTAATAATCAACCCCTTGTTATATTTCAGGCACTGTCCTAGGCCACCAGGAAACAAAAATAAATAAGACTATTTTCCTGCCTGTGTACAGTGGCAGGTCTAGTGGGTGAGACAGATGAGAACACATACGTACAGATGTCGCGGAGGCTGTGGTAAAAATGGGTGCAGGGCTGGTCATTGTTTGAGAAAGGTGGGGCAGATAAGAGGTATCACTGAGGAACTGAAAGATGAATTGGCAGTTGCTGGAGAGACATGGGGAAGGCACGAAGGCATGAGGGAATGGGATGAAAAGAAGGGGTGCAGTGCAGGATGCCAGAGAGGAGAGGCAGGAGCTAGGTTGTAGAGGACTTTGTCAGCCAGCCAATGCTCTTTGAGCTTTAATTATAGGGATCCAGTGGAGGGTTTCAAGCATATTTGAATTTTAGAAAGATGACTAGCAGCAGCATGTATGAAACAGATTGAAAACTGATGTGTTAGGTCATAAAAGATGATGACACCACCCCCCCCCCGCCCTCCCCCCAAAAAAACTAAAGTGCAAAAAAATACTAAGGCTGTGAAAGTGGGGATGGAAAGAAGAAGATAGCCAACATAAGGAGTCCAACTCTGTGAGCCCAGTTAGGATGTGGAGTTTGAAGTGACTTTCAGATTTTTGGCTTAGCTGGTGGATATGGCACCAAGCACGAGATAATAACTAAACTTGAGTTTAGTTCTCAAGATGATGATTTTCAGAGTTGTGGTGAATATTTAGATGGTGATGCCCAATGGACAGTCAAATGTATCCATCTGGAGCTAAAGCAGGATGTCTGCACAAGATGAGTAGGTTTACATGTCTGCAACTTTAGGTAGAAGCCAGTGTTGAAGCCATAGGTGAAAATGAGATTATTCAAGGAGAGTCGAAATAATGTTTTCCCAGGAAAATGATGTCTGGATTTTCTAGCTAAGAACCTAAGGCATGTTTGTAAACATATTTCCAAAGCAGAATGTCTTCGTTGCTACTTCATTTTGTACAACTACACTTCATAGCATTCCATGTTCTTAACTTGGGACACAGGGACATTGGGGGAAAAGGAAGAGGCGAGATATTTTGTTCCTCAAGGTGAGGGCAGAGAGCCAGACATGGTGACTGCCTCCCCAATAATGCTCTCGTACTCAGCGTTTACATCAGAGATCTTGACTCACTGGAGCCAACACTCCCTGAGCCCAGGTGTCTGGAATCAGAAAAACCAGTGGAGCCACCTACCCCATCCTCCCAGGGTGGGGAGCAGCGGGCCTCCCCACCCCACAGCTCACCTCTCAGTTAGTCTCTCACAGGTTGGGGATTGCCTGGGTGTCAGTTAAAAGTTGAAGTTTTGGTTTAAGAAGTAAACAAATGATTTTGTAGTTGTTATGACCACATATGTTAGAGGAGTGTGTGTGTCATGGTGGTTATAAAGGTCATCCCAAATTGAGTATAATTATATACTATGGATATTTTCATCAAACACAGAACGGTTTCTATTTATAATAAAGTTTTCCACCATTAAGTGGGTCTTTCAGTGAGTGGGGCATCATACTTCTGGACATAAAGAAAGATGGCAGTGTTCTACAATGGCCCCCTTGGCATACTTCATCTCCCAGTCACTGACATACATTGCTTGGTGCCAGACTCAAGTGGAGCAGACCTGGTACATTTAGCCACGTGATAAATCATACATGTTCTTGCCCTCAAGAGAATCGCAGATACATTTGTGGAAAAACACATAGACATAATTCTGTAACGAACTATCAAGATAGAATCCCTTTAAAGCAGACTTCCTTGTGGCTCCTTTCCCCTAAATTCTCTAGCCAGAGCTTAGATGAAGTTTTTACATTAGCTTTGAATTTAAGAATGGAAAGGAGCCTGTTATATGTAACATACATATCATTCCCTATGCTTTTATAACATTTTGTAAGGTCCTTCTGTGACATAGAGAAGATAATTTTTGTGAATCCATATCATATGAGAGTGGTAGAGCCTGTGAGAGTAGCCATATATATACAGACTTCAGGAGGGCCAGCAGTGGGACTCTGGTTGGTGGTGTAGGCTCCATGCCTAGGAAGTACAGATTCAAGCCCTGTCTGCCCAGAGCTGACTGGTCCACACTGCAGAGCCCTGAAGGACAGTAGCTGCACCTTAACCCACCCTGGACTGCCGGGGGGCAGAACACTGGGCTGTGTCTGCCACTTTTCAAAGCATCTCTTGGGCTCAGGGCCCAAGGGACCCGATAAATCTCTGCCCTTTAGAGGCCACTGCTCTGCCCTTTTGTGTAGCTAGGGAAATGCAAATTGTACAGGTATTTTTATGTGACCTTGGGGCATGCATAACAGCATTTAAAAAGAGTATTGGTTCATATTTCTGCAGTCCCAAAACATGACCCTGCCCTTCTCTACGTGATGTATTTGCATTGTGGCTTTTCCCTCCCCAGAAGGGCACCGTGTTGGCACTTACGGAAAATAACTTTGAGGACACCATTGCAGGAGGAATAACCTTCATCAAATTTTATGCCCCATGGTAAGTGGCTCTTTGATTAGAAACTACTTTCTTTGTCCTAGTGCACTTTGGTCTCATATTTTCAGCTCGTTAGCCAACCCTCCAGGCTCAGTGTTGAGCACATATTACACTTACATGTAGGTTATGTTGTGGGAAATAAGGAAATGTTATCATTATATTCTTATATTCAGATATGTTCAAGCTTGATGGTATTCATAAACAGTTATTGATGGAGAATGAGGTTATTTTAAAATTCAGTCTGCTTTGGAGAACAAGGTAATGGAGGAGAATTACGATGGCCATAACATTTTGTGGTATATCTCTGTACTTTTCCAAAGATTGCTTGTTTGCTTAAAAAAGCTACATCATGATGTAGCTTTGCTCCTTGGTCCCTTCTAGATGTTACAGAGGGATCCAGTTGAGCTCAGCTTTCTGTTTTGAGCCATTCAACATGTTACCCAATTGCCTGCACCTTCCTGCCATATGGTCTTCAGGGACCAGAGCAGAGATGCTCTGTGTGCATGAGGTTTGAGACCCAGGCAACCTGGATGTCCTTTAATTCCTTGGAACTTAGTTTCCTTAGCTGTAAAATCGAAGAACACTTTGTTTTCACAAATGAAACATTCCATTTGGGAAAGCAGAGTGCCGAGAAGTGTTAGGTTCTGTATCTAAATGCGGACAAGTAAGGTCACCACATGTCATTGTTGCTCTTTAATTTCATTCATTTCAGATATTCATGAGAAACCGTAATAGCAGAAATAAAAAATTAACACATGACTCATGAGTTGTGCATTCTGAATTTTTAAGAACAGAAACACTAGCAAATAATGCCTTCAAAACTATTATTTTCTATTTTTAAAAAAACCTAAAGCTATAGATCGAGTTTGAAGACAGAAGATCCCCTTTATTGAAGGGGAGCAGTTCATGTAGTGGGAGAAGAGTCAGAAAAGGGACCGAGTGTCGGGTGGAGGAGAGGGTTTGAACAAAACCCAGTCATGGCCTTAGTGCTCACACCAAATCACTGAAGCTTCAGGGAAGCTGTGAAGTTGTTTTGAAATGTTGAAGTCATAGGCAGTTAAATCTGAAATGTTTTTAGTGTTCAAGTGATTTTTAAAAAATGTTTAGAGTCTGTTTTCTTTCCTGTCCTCCTTTTGTTCATTCACAAACCAGTTAGCCCAGTTCACTGTATCATGGAAGTGGTTTCAAAATCCAAACCTGTTTTCAGACCAGCTTGTTTCTGTCAGGTTAATCCAAAAGTCTACTTCAGATAGATTTTGACTTCCTTGTTTGGGGTGGGGGAGGAACAGAAGGAGGAAAAGTTAATGCCTCCCAAAGGGAAAATTTGGTATTTTATAAATTTCTAGGCAATTGTTGACCGCTTCATACAGAAAAACAAGGCTCAACTTGGCAGCAAAATATAGGTGAGTGAGCGTGACCCAGGCCTTCAGCAGAGCTGTCGTTGTTCTCTTTCTAGGTGTGGTCACTGTAAGAATCTGGCTCCTGCTTGGGAAGAACTCTCTAAAAAGGAATTCCCTGGTTTGGCAGAGGTCAAGATCGCTGAAGTGGACTGTACTGCTGAACGGAATATTTGCAGCAAGTACTCGGTGGGTACATGTGAATGAGAACACTGTGGGGACTCTACGTATTGGGAGCAGATCCCAAGTGAAGCTGTGCTTTGGCGTTGTGGGCTCAACCGAGATAACTCACACTGCCCTTGTCCCCTCAACAAAGCATTTTTTGTGTCCTTTTGAGGTGCTCGGTTTGTTTTTCCTTTTGAAAAGCTAAACAGATGCTCTCTCAAAGGAAAGGCTTTCTTCCTCTATTATTATACACATTTCAATGGAGGTTTTTAGGCCTTGCCATCTGGGTGTTAGGCTGGGCAGTAACTAAGACTTCAAGCTAGAGAATGGGGGGCTGCTTACACAGACGTTCTTGTTGACGGAATAGTCAGTTGGCTTGTGGCTGTCATCATCAACAACTAAGTGGCTTATTTTTCAGATATAAGCCAGCATTCTAACATAAAATGGCTGAATGAAGGAAACACTTGAACATAAACTTCCTCCTGAGAGAGCCATACCAACACGCCCGTCTTGTGCTTGGATCGTTTAACTGTTGTTGAAATTTTATATTTCTCTTTTTGTGTTGTTTTCTCAAAACGTTTTTGAGGCCGCTGAAGTTTATTACCTCATCAGATTGAGGATAGTTGTAGCATATTTTTTATTTATCATTCGAAGATGCCAGTCAAATTTGTGCCTTAAAATTCTGAAAAGAGAAAAGAGGCAAGTTGCGGCTCTCCTTGAGGGTCTTGCTACTACCCAGTGTGGTCCACTGAGCGGCCTGGGCATCACCGGGAACCTTGTCCAAAATGCAGAGTCTCAGGCCGCGTGCCGTGCCGCTGGGCTGGAATGTGCACCTTAATAGGTCCCCGGGGGATTGACACTAATTTTGAATGTAGTTTTGGATTGTTAAATGAATAAATAGCCCCAAGACTTTGCTTTCTGAACTCTGACACTTTTTAAATGGTTTATACATTTTAAAAATTTAACCGTAGACTTTCCTGGCCACAGCTGTAGGATTTTTTCTGGTTTTATTTATGAAATAATTTGTGTGCGATTCAGGCCACTGGTTTTCAAATTTTGAATTTTTTCTTTCAAGGTACGAGGCTATCCCACATTGTTGCTTTTCCGCGGAGGCAAAAAAGTCAGTGAGCACAATGGAGGCAGAGATCTCGAATCGTTGCACCACTTTGTTGTGCGCCAGGCAAAAGACGAACTGTAAAAACAGGAGGAAGTCTCCTCTCCTGCCTGGCCGCCTGTACCGTGTCGGGGAGCAGCAAATCATGTGGATGTTGCTGGGTTTCAGGTGGTGGTTATTCAGAAAGCTGAATATCCTAAACGTGTGGCGGCATCTCTGTGTTTCTTAAGCCAACACACTCTACAGGTTCTTTACTAAGTTTCTCTAAGTAAACATGTAACTCATGATCCCTTTGCAAACTGAATATTTTCAGTGGCAATCTATCATCCCCTTTAACCTTCTCTTGATGAAATCTAAGTGGTTTCCTTTGAGACTAAAATGGAGTTGAGGAAAATCAAATTGCTGGACTATTATGGTTCCTCAGTGATTTTGGTGGAAGCATCATCCAAAGCACCATTTTTGAGCTGCCCACAACTCCTGGAAAGGTAGCCTGTGGCAGTATCGATGTTCCTCTGAGCCGAAGGTCATAAATGACTTACTAATAGTGTGGTTGCTCCAAGCTTGGAGCAGAGTTACAAACAAAAACCCCACACCTCTGGGAGATACCTTCACAGCCACTCCTGGATTTTCCGTTCCTGTTAATACTTCTCTCATCGTGAGAGGTTTGCCACAATGAAAGCAATGGTACTTTTGACACGTGCCTGAGTAAGATAACGCTGATGCCATAATCTTATGTGTGTTATTTGTTAGCTCAGTTATTACTATTCAAGGGATACTTCTGTTTGTTGCTCATGGATGAAAGATTTCATTAGTTATGTTAACGTGAAGTCAGGGTCCATGTGAAGATTTTTAAGATTTAAAATTCATGTTTAAGATTTGATGTCTCCCATGGAAAATATGGGCATGGAAACTTCTGCAAGGCTTAATCATAACTGTTCCTTTAACTTATAGAAAGATTCTGGTTGCACTTGCCATCTGGGGCAAGAGGACTAGATGAGTTTTCCCTAGTCTGGGTATTAGGGACCAGCGGAACCCTGCAGCCCCACTATGGGGCCCCAGCTGGAAGCGGTTTCAGATTTTGCTCCTAGGTAGTCCTTTTAGAGGCTCATTGTACATCGTCTGCCTTTGCAGAGGTTGACCCTGTGCTGTATGAAGAGTGGAATTAACTTGACCAAAGACCAAAGAATGGAGTAGGCAGGGCTGAGTCAGGGCTGAAGTAGGCCACACTAGCATTAATGCCAGCATCATAATTCATGCCATCCTAGTTATTAAACATTTTTACCATCACTCTTGGAAAAAAGCAATCACGGGACTAGGCTCCCATAAGATAGGTACCTGTATGTTCTTTGCCATCAAATTACTTCTCAGAATAACCCCTCTGTGTCCAACACTCTTCAACCCACCTCCCATGCTTGGGGGATCCAGTCACTTGGCACAAAGTAACTAGGGGTGAGGATCTCTGAAACAAGATCACTTCTGCGTCTGCCGCAGATGACAACAGAGCAGGATCTCGAACAGCCTCTGCCTTAAAGGAAATCTTTATTAATCATGTGGTTCACAGATGTTCATTTAAAAATCCCAACGTTCTGGAGAAGCACAGTCCTCATGAGTGGCTTCAGCTTCGCATCATGAGTCTTGTATTAAAAGAAAATCAAAGTGGTACAATTTGTTTACACTATGATACTTTCTAAATAAACTCTTTTTTTAAAAAAAAAAAGTCTGGTCTTTCCTTAAATGTTACAGCAAAACAGATATAAAATAGACAATAAATTATAGTTTATATTTACAAAAAAGCTGTATGCAGTTATAGATCATAAATGTATTATTTAATCAGTTTAGTATGAAACTGGTTTCTTAGTACATGATTGTGAAAAAGACATTTAAAAAATATTCTAAGATTTAATCTGAGTTCTCACTTCCTACAAAAGAAAACTGATTTCAGTTCATAAACAGCATGGCCATCCAAACTCATTCCTAAAGGCTGGGAGCTCCTTCCTCAGTTTATTTCCTTTGTTGGGTCTCACCCTGTGACATGACATGCTGTATAGAAAAAGGCAAAGAACCGTTTTTACTAAAATAGATGAGATTAGAGCCAGCGTTCCTGAAGTTAATGTGCTTTTCAGAGAGCCATTCCAAAAAAGATGAGTTGCAGAATTTCTTTCACATGTTATATGGTTAAAATGATGGCTATTAAAAATGCTGCTCACCCCTTGCAGTCTGACCTCAAAGTATGAGCAGTCTGCTTTTGCTGCTAGCCAAGAAAACAGTAAGTGGCGGAGGACTGAGGTGTGGAAATCACATGGTTCGTTTTAACCAAAATAATTCTATTTTCACACCAACAAAAGGCCAGCATAAACATGTAACAGCAATTACTGAGACAAGGCACTTCCAAATAGCCCTGGTTATGGCCCGGGCTGTTGATCTTCTATGAAATTGACCTTCCTGGGAATGAAATCTGAATAGAGGCATTTTCCCCCAATTTCTGTTGTCCGTAAAATCAATCTTTGAGAAACATTACTAAACCAGCTGATACTTTAGCCAAGAATACTCTTACTCCTTTAACATTACCTTCCTTCTTTACTCACACCACAAATAGCTTGATCTAAAGCTAAAACTACTTTCGGGAGGCTTTTTGCGGGGAGTAAAGGGGAAACCCTTCAAAGTTATGTTTCTGCAGTTACCAGACTTCATACTACAGACATTCAAACAGCTTCCTACAGACCAACAACTACTCACGTTATTTACTATGTGGGCAAATCATTAACGAGGTCCTTTAAAATCTGTCTTGGGTAGTAAGGCACCAACCGGCATGAGATGCTTTCAAAGTCATCGTCTTGCTTTCACTGTGCTTCCGCGTGTTTTTTAAGGCAGATGAAATCTAGGAATCCAAGGCAGTATTTGTGTCCCCAGTGACTAGTTTTTCGAGTTAGTGGCATCCACAAGCTCTTACAACCATATTCCTGTATTTTTTTAAGATGACATTGGAGTTGTCATCAAAGTAAAGGACTGAGATAGCATTTAGTTTAGTTGGCGCACAGCACGGTTTGGGGACATACTCAGGATTCATAAGGTGAACCTGTTCCAAAACAGAAGGAGGAAAAGGTTCCATTAGCAGCTATACCTGGTCTTGGCTTACTTCTACCTATAAAATGACAAAAATCTCTTCGAGCTCACCAGTGTCTGTACGATCGCATGGTTTGTTGCATTCATGTGTGCGTTGAGTGGGAAGGAGCATTCTCCATCACAGTAATTGGCAGCATAGCCCTTGGGTGCGATAATCCAATCCTTAATTTAAAGCAAAGGAAGCAACAAAAAGGTGATTAATGTATACTCCTTAGATTATCTGTGCTTTAAGTAATCCTGTGAGAAGGATTACTCACATGGACAGGTAAGGAGGCAGGAGACAGAGATGCAGGAAGATTAAGTTCATGTTCAAGTGGCAAAACTAGGGTGTGAATCTGGTTGGTCTGACAGAGTCCTCACCCCTTCCACATTTAGCCGCTACCTGCCTGCTAGGCCTGGAAGCACACAGATGGCTGGCTTTCTGTACTTGGACCCAATGGAGCCTCTCCAGGAATCCTGTCATCATAATGCCACCTGCATATGGAAACTATCTTCTATCACTTGTCACCTATAATTCTTATAAACTAGTGGTGGCTTTCAGGTGCGGGGCAAAACATTTATGCTCTTCTAGATAGTTTGGGTGAGCCAATTTATAGCCATTGGAGAGGTTAACTAGTGATCATTTTTCAAATCTTTTCTCAATTAAAATTTGTTTAAATGCCTAAATATAAATGGACTTTGAAAAAAATGTGGAAATTGCATCTTGAAGAAAGTGCCTACTGATTTTGAGGTACCCAGAGCTGGGGAACCCTGGGCTCCCTGGGAAGGTGCCAGTGGGTGCTGTGTGCACAAGAAGGCCCAGTCTTCCCCCACCTCACTCCGGAGAGCCTGGACATTTGGAACGGCTCCTGTGTACCTTCATGGAGGACCCATCTCAGTCCTAAAGCTTAAGGTCTTTGATGTTGGCTGCTGCCATTCAGATAAGAGACTGCCGAGAAAGGAACTTTGTCCCCCTTAGTGTCCTGAGAACTCACCTGCCATCCCAGGTCTTGGAAGCTCACATAAAGCTCATGTTTCCTACAGGCTGTTTTTAATTCACTGCTGTTATAATCTGTTGGAGGAGATCAAAAGATGCACCCATTAACTCATTCATTCCCTCACTTAAAAACTTACGTGAAGAGCGTGCCATGGGCCAGGCACTGTACTAGGCTTGGGATAGCAGTGAACAAGGGCCCTGCTAGATGTAAATTTGGTCACCAAATTGCTCTTTCAGGTTCCCGATCACTTGGGTGTTTCACATACTCTGTCTTGTCCACTTGGGTTAGTGCTGGGCACGCTGGCAAATGATACATACTTATTGAGTTGAACGCTTTTAAGCAACAGATATTTGTTGTGAGCCCCTGTTGTGTGCAAGGCCTAAGGAGGGGGTGTGTGAAGATGCCCAAAACACCTCAGGCTCCTGACTTGGAAGACACCATATACACAGTAAAAGGCAACTGTACCAGGCAGGATTCACTATATTTCAAACAGGGGTGATCTTGAAACTGCACAGGGGCTTTGCAGATAGCTGCTGAGCCAGGAAAGCATCCTGAAGGAAGTGTAATGGAACGCGACCTAACCGGGAGACCCAAGAATGGGGAGGACAGAGAGAGAGACTCTGCAGCAGGGTCCATTCTCGCCCATGCTGTCATCCAGCCTGGCTGCCAGGGTCGAGTCCCTTGACTTGCAGTAAGGCAAAGACTCCTAAGCCAGTTGTGTCCCATGAGAATCTGCTGAAGTGTATATATCTGTTTTGTATAATTCAGGAGCCAGTAGCCTTGCTTAACCTAATCACTGGCAAGAGGAATGGCAGTGCCCTGATTCATTTAGGCCACTTGGAGCAGTTCTTGTATGACATGCCCTCCGCTAGGTATCCTGGGAAATAGGAAGATAAGTTAGACAAGGCTTTCATTCTCCAGGAACTTAGGGAATCAAAGGGATGGCGTGAGACATGTACACAACTAAAATACAAAACAATACAAAGGCTATGGGCAAGGGCCATAGGGAAATTCCATGAATGAGAAAGAAGAAAAGAGAGCAGTTCTTCTGAAATGAATTTAAGGATATGTGAAGAGTAGTCAATCAAGATAAAAGTTGGAGAAGTGGCTTAGAATGCCAACCAAACGTTTTTGGACTTCATACCAGAGATAGTAAGTAAGCTTTGACAGTTTTTGAGCCAGGGAGTGACATTCAGAGCTGGGATTCTAAAGGTGTGATCTCATGCTGAGTGGTGGTTGAGAGTTCAAGAGAAGGGGGAGAGATGAAAGGTTAGATGAAGACTTTGGATAAAGGTTCTTAATCTAAAATGGACATTGATGGATACAAGAGCCTGAGCCCATTTTTGTGCTACTTCTGTCCTCTTTAGTCAATGATCCAATAAGTTACCTGATTGCTTAAAGCCTGTTTGAATTGTTTTCTGTAACTTGTATTCCTGGACCTCCTGGCCCTGAAGCAAGACCAAACACACAGATGTTGTGATTTCGTAAGGAAAAGAAACACAGTACTAATTCAGCCCACTGATCTATCCTGGGAAGGGAGACAGACTACCTTTTGAGTTGATTTCTAATTCTAAATTATTCATTCTTCCCACCTCTCTTCTTCACCTCACAGAATCACCCTTACTGTAACTTTAAGTACCTGGAAGAAATGAATGGAAAACCACACTGAAGGGAAATTTTCACTCTGCAGGGCACCATGGACTCTCTGAGTAAAAACAAACAAGCACCCACCACACCTCAAAACAAGACAAAACC